ACATTATAAAAAGGAAACCCTAATAATCAAGTGTTGTGCTTCTAACATCAGTACTAATCTGTAATAACTATAAATTTCTTCAGAAGTAAAAAAGTATGCTGAAAAATAATTACCCAAGTAAAGTACAGATAAGCAAAATCTCTATTTAAGTACAGTAACAAAGTATTTGTACTTAGTTACAACTCTGATTATCTAATTAATTGGTCATTTAAAAAGAAAATCAACACGTGTAAATTAGCACATTTTTAGCYAAATATAAAACTGCTGACCTCCAGTGTTATGAGTCACAATCAGCTCGTTGATTTAACTGAGATTCAGTCGACTCTGATTCGGCTCATATTTACTAGAAACGGTGATAAAAGCTGATAATAGTCAATTTAACGACCTTCGGCTCTCCTGTTAATTGATTGTCAGGTTGAGGTACAGTATCGAATGGTGCCTCAGCAGCAGGACACTGTTATTCTTTCTTGTTCTTTATAGCCAGAGATCTCAGCCCCGTTGTGTGGAAGATTTATGACCCTGCTCTTAAATCAATGGGGGCTCTCTGTGAGGGGCTGTACCGTTTAATGGAACATTTTTTAATTCATCAGGATTTTCTTCCTTTTAGTTCTTATAAGCGAACACTATTTAGCTGGAAAATAATGGTCACAGCCTTTGTGAGAAAAAAAAATTAGATTTAACCAACTGACTTCCTTGTGGTGAAGTAACTTGCTGGTGTGATTGAATCTTCTCTGTGGAAAAAAAAATGGCAGGCTTGGCGGCATTTTTGTCTCCCCCACCAGTCTCGTGAAGACACATTCCTGCACATTTATTGCACTTGGCAATTAAAATGATTTTATTTTTAACGTCTGGTTGTGATTTAGGTGGTTTTMTTTATCAGTTACAAGGAAGCAGAAAGCTTGCAGAACAGAATAGGAGCGATACTGGAAGCTATGTTAAGGACACAGTTGTAGCGATGGAAGAAGGAATCAATAGTGCATTGTTGTTTTACTGTAGGCAATAGACCTGGAAAGCATCATAAGACACTGACTCACTGGTAAATACTAGTCAGGTTCTTTCACTGCTCGTGGGTAAAGAACACGGCTGCAAACATACATACAGGAACGATAAGAAGAATTGTTTGTGTTATTTTATGCATGCCCTAATATTTTGGGTATTAATAGGAGTCACTTGCCGGGGGGCAGAAAAATAATCCACCACATAATAATTGCAAGGCTGCAACTCACTTCAAAGAAGGGAAATGAATGTGAATGTTAAAGTTCAAATGTTTATTTTATTATTATTATTTTAATTATTTAATTATCGTGGACTAATTATAATTCTTTTGAAAATTAAAATGCAAATGTGTGCCTTTATTCTTTTATTTTTAAGTGCATTTTGCTTCAGAACAATGTAAATTTCTGCAGCTTTGACTCATAAAATCATGTCCAACATCTGAAAAAATCAACTTCTGAAAAGGTCAAAGAACTTTTTGCTTCTGACAATTAATACTTTAAAAAAAAAAATTATTTAGACTGACGTGTAACACGTACTCTGAGTGCTACACAACATGAAATCTAGTTATTTAAATCTGCGGCAACCCTGGTTTACATCAACCTTGTTTGTCTGTTAGCAGAATATTTCATAAACAACTGAACAGAAGAACTTATAGAAGTTAGTTCTCATACTCTGATGTATAAGCCTCCTTCGCTTCATGCGCTTTTTTCTCCTAAAAACGATTGCTTTTTGTAGTTCTATCGTTTTTAGCAATACAAATGCCAAAACAAGTGACTGGWCCGGCCATGTTGGACGTCGCAGTTACGACGCAGAGGCGCAAGTCGATGACATAATCCGTACTGGCCCAATTCTCGATTTTTTTGCACGCTTGTGACCTTCGCACTCGAATACTTATGTGCAGGGATGCACCGATATGAAAATTTCAGCCGATATCGATATCCGACATAATTATTGCTGTTATGGCCGATAACCGAAATTTACCGATATTACACAAACACACAAATTATATTATATGTATACGCACAAATACACTTAGGTCTTTTCTTGATGCCGTAAATAAACGACAAGGCCTCTGGAGAAGGGRGTCTCTGCAGAACATGTCCTGTTGGCGGAGATAGCCCAAATCGTCATTGGCGGAGGTCTTGATGTGGGCGGAGATGGCCCAAGAGACGTGATTGGTTGGATTGATGGTGGGGTTTGGGAAGGCTGCAGGCAGCGGGGAGTAGCTTGGTCAAGTCAGGCAGGAAGCAACGTTTTTTAAGAATAATTTTAGTCATAACTTGAGAAAGGAAAGTACTAGCTGCACGAAATTTGACCGTCGTACATGTGAAAGGATGTGTAACAGTATGACTCAGTTAAAACATCCCTAACCAGCCTGTAAAAAGATGTTTTAACCAAGCCATATTGTTACACATCCTTTCACATGCATGTTACACATTCTTTCACATGTACAACGTTCAAATTTCGTGCAGCTATCACTTTCCTTTCTCAAGTTATGACTTAAATTAATCTAAAAAAAATATGTCCTGCTCGACTCGACCAAGCTACTCCCCGCTGCCTCATACCCCACCGACAATCCGACGAATCACATCTCTTGGGCCATCTCCGCCCACATCAAGACCTCCGCCAATCACGAGTAGGGATGTCTCCGCCCACATTAAGACCCCCGCCAGTCACGAGAAGGGCCGTCTCCACCCACATCAAGACCTCGGCCAATGACGATTTGGGCCGTCTTCGCCCACCGGACCACATGTTCTGCAGAGACCCCTACTTGGGCCTCTGACACGGCTCTACTTCAGTTATTCCTGGCTAYGCAGTGTCAATATCACTATCATGATCAAACAGATGACGCTCAATCAACCATCTCCCCTCCCAAAACAGAAACACAAAGATAAAAGGTGTGAGATCATTATCGGATGTTAATATCGGCCTAGTTTTACATATCGGACTGATACCGATATGAATGCCGATATATTGTGCATTCCTACTTACTTCGACTGAATCCACACTTCACAGAGGGGCGTAGGGTGCACACTGAGCATTGGGACTGGGCCTTTGTGTGTTTTCTGCACATTAATATTGGACCTTTTTTTATATAACAGGTGCAGTTTTGATCCGATATGAAATATTTGATTGCTGAAGAAACTTTTTTTTCCTCACAGGAAGCACAAAATCATCAAACAGTTTCCATTTTTTTATCAAGACAGCTGAGAGACAATTTTTGCRTTTAAGTCCTTCTTGAGCAATTGAGCTACTTTTTAAATTTCTAACAAAGTGTTGGCATGTGAGCAACAGAGTTAGCTGGCTGGGACTGGGGTGGGTGAGACGGGTGAGGAGGGGGAGCTTCGTTGTGGTGGGATGAGGAGGAAGTGAAGGGGTGGGGGGGCAGTATGGCCGCTAGCCTCTTTCTTGTTGATCCTCAGGAGACCATCTGCGCTGGGGGCATTGATTAGAGTGTGTCTGGTGGGATTACATCTTTGCTGTTGCCATGCCAACTAATCAGCTGATTTTTTTCCCCCCACATCTCTGTCTGTCTCTCCATTTCTGTCTCTCTCTCTCTCTCTCTCGCTCCCTCCCGTCTCTTTGCCTGGTTGTCACAGCAACAAAACACGGGAGAAGCGTAAGAGCCCCGGCAAGAGCTGGATTCAGCGAAAGGGGCGAAAAAAAAGAAGAAAAAAAAMCGTTTTTTTTTTCCTTCTCTGTTTCCCTCGCTCTGCCTCTCTCCGTCTCCTCCTAATTGGCAGCTCTCTCTGACCTGAAGTTCTTTTGTCTCTGGCGTAAACACACCCCTCTCCACATCACATTTATTTTCGCGTTTTAGAGGCCCAAGGACAGAGTAAATATTGGGTGCATAATAGCTTGGCTTCATGCTACAAAGTCCTTGAACAAATTTCAGAAACGAGACAAAACACTTTCAGCGTTTTTATCAAAAATTAGGTCTGAGCAATAAACACAGGTTTATTTATCTATKATCTTCTGTGTTGAACGAAATTAGCCCACAGCTCCCTGCCCAGCTGATCGGGGGGTGTTTCTGAAAGAGACGTCAGGGGCTGAGGAGAAACGTGAAATAACGCTAAATATTTAATATGTGTCCAGGTTTGTACAGAGGGTCGTTTGATACTGGAGTTTGCCTTCGACGACCTGATGAGGATCAAGACGTGGCACTTTACCATCCGGCAGTACAGAGAGCTCATCCCACGCAGCATCCTCGCCATGCACGTAAGTCCGACGAATATGACGCCTGACAGAAAGCCCACATCTTTGGGTGTCGGGAGCATCTGTACATCTCTCTGAGACACATTCAGAGACTGCTTTGCAAACTTAGAGGTTGTAAAAGTAAACAAAGTAGTTAGGGAGGAAAAAAAACTTCTTAAGTTTTCTTTTCAAGTCAAGATTGCTAAAACTGTTGTCTTCATGAGAAGAGTTTTGGACAAATGACCTGAATGTATGTTGTCTCATTTTTATTTGTTACCCTGACTTTTTCTTTTTATCGTGTTGACAGTTTAAACCAGACAGGTGTCCAATCCTAGACCTCGTATACATAAGATACTTAAGATGTTCTCTAATTTTACTAGAACAGTTGCAGCTGTAATATCTGTAAATTCCCTCTAGGATCAACAAAGTATTTATGAGTCTGAGTCTGACAGGAGGTGGCCCAGGGGTGTCCCGATACAACTTCTTTACTTCCGACACGATGCCGATATTGATGCCTAGAGTACTGGCCGGTACCGATATCGACCCAATATCAGAATGAATCCTACATACTTTTATTACCTTTTTTAAAAAGTTATGATCAGGTCAAACAGTAAACAATAGTCAATAAAAATAGATATGAGAAAGACTGGTCCCGTTTATTCTAATCTAATAGGTTACATATTGTTCTAACTTAAACAAAGAATATTGTACAATAAAATACAATAAATAAATAATAAAATAAAAGGCCCTCAATAAATCCAATAAAAACAAACTACACTTTTAAAATGTAAATAATAGTTTAAAGTCACTTAAGTTCTTTAAGCTGGACCCAAGCTGTTGGATAGAAATCCTGAGTGGACTCCTGTAATGGACTGCTTGTATCGGAGTACTGATTTTAAATGCAGGTCAATATAATCCTTTTTTTTTTGGCTAATATTGGCCCAATATCTGTTATTGAAATTGGATCGGGACATCCCTACAGTGGCCCTCATAAAACCAGTATTGGACACCCCTGCTATAATAAACTATAAACAGTCTATGGCTCAAAGAAGGGGTGCACTGATAAATCTGCACTGATTTTCTTTAACTTTGGGGGATCGATCGGCCAATATTTACACGACAAGCCGGTTTTATCCACCAATCTTATCCAACTTTGCAAAGGTCTGAAAATCAGCCTCTGTCCTCTTGCTTTGCTGTGAGAGAGGGATGTTGTCCAGTTAAAACAAATCACTGTTCAGTGTTTTTCAATATAATATTGGAACATTGAAGGTGTTTTGGGACCTTATAACACCTGACAGTGACAGTTATCAGCAGGTCAGGCTTTTTAAAGATCGGTACAGCCTAATGTACATGCTCCGCGCCTTGTTTCCTGTTTTTGCTGTGTTTCATTAGCAGTGCTACAGCGCCACCTGCAGACCTGGCATAATAACTACAGCATTTTGGGCTATTTGTTTGTGTAAAAACATTTCTAATAAAAAATATATATATTGGAAACAAAACACCCCCTTTATAACAATAACTTTTATTTTCCGATATTAAACCCAAGTCCCATTGAGATCACAGATCTCTTTTGCAAGGGAAGCCTGGGCCTGAAGGCAACCTATTGTACATATTTTTGTGCTGTGGGGAAAAACCGGAGTACCTGGAGAAAACCCACGCGAACACGAGGAGAACATGCAAACTCTTCACAGAAAGACCCGAGGTCTGAACCAGGGATCGAACCCCGGAGCTTCTTGCTGTGAGTCATCAGTGCTAACTACTGTGCTGCCAACATGAATTTAAATAGCATGGAATTAATAATCTTATTTCAACTAMACACAACCATGTTTGAGAGGTTGAAAAGCATCTTTCAGACATCCACATGAATGCCAAGTTCTTTTTACATCTCAGTCTCGTTTACAAATGAGCACCAAGGTCACTTTTATGTCACAGTTATGATATAAACCTCCCAAGGTTGYGTTAATTGACCTCCTAACTTCACAGGTTGGATTAAAATATGGTTAGGTTAATGTAAAGTTTGCAACAGTTTKAGCTTTAATGCACAACCAGATTTCAAGGGTCATTTCATTCATTTTCTCAAGCACCATCTCGTGTGCTTAAAAAGAAAATAAAATGAGTTTAATTAAAATGAGCTACCTATTTTCTCTCATTRTATATAAAAATGAAGTTTAAAGAAAATCTGGCATTCATTAAACTCTGTATTTATTTAAAATATGTATTGTGTATAATATATTTATAATCAATTAAAATTATCAAGTATTTTCAGTTAAATTTGCACCACTGGATTTAATCGCAGATTAATGTTTGAAAGACATTAAAATAAAGTCGTTGGTTTATAGTTTTTTCAGCCTGTGTTTGTACAGCTAATTTACAGGAAGTTGTCCCCATTTGCATTTTAAATGAAGTCAAATTCATTTCTKCGCTGTCTTGTAGTCACCCTCGTAGTTCTAAATATAAAAGCCAGTCTTGCGTTTTGGCCGAATCTTCATATGAATTTCACTCACCGATAAATTGGCCCCTCTGGGTATTCACGTTAATTCTTGGAGAGTGGGAGATTGTGGGGTATTGTGGGTCCTGGCCAGATCTTCAGTGATTTGTGTTTGAGTGTAAGTTCAGTCTTTTGATCGCTGCCCGGGCTAATGAAAGCAGATGCAGACACGAGGGAGTCAGAACAGGGAAGTTGAAACTGCACATTCTGCTACAAATGGAGCTGCTTTGGAAGGTCTTCTTTTTGATCTGAGTTCTGCTGCACCTCTTTATTTTTATTTTTATTGTATAAACTAGACCTCTTGTGCAACTTTAAAAGAAAAGTTTGTGTTCTGTTAATATTTTAAGTTTAATTTGCTTTTAAGCTTAAATGGTCAGCTGTAATTTTAATTTATTCTTTTAAAGCTTGGTACTTAATTATCAGACATTACAATCTGCAGTTCCTGTAGCTCCCACTAGATGCTGACCTCAGAAAGTTATCCCCATAGAGTTAAATAACCCTAGAGTGAGCTCCACCTACAATCACTGCTACAATCTGTGGCAAAATACAGGAGCAAAGATGGCAGCCAAACGGGGCAACAGCTCACAGCTGTTTGATTAACAGCAAGCCCAACTGGATCAGTGTAACATATTACTTATAATCTTTTTTGCAATAAATGAAAATAATTGGCAGTTATGTTAATTTAATTCAACAATCATGTAAAACAGAACAGCAGATGATGTAAGGAAAATATATTGTTTATTACAGGGTTCCTGTTGATCCTTAAAAAGTCTTAAATCAATCTTTCAGAGGTCTGAAAAATGTTAACACGTGAGTGGGATGATTGTAATAATCTCAAATATTTAAAAAATTGGTAACGTTTATTTATCTTTTTCAATAATTTACCGGATCCTTTATGCAGCTAGTTGTTTTGTGCTAAAATAAACATTTGGGTAAAATTGTTGCTGTTTGTTTATTTGTTGATTTATTTATTTATTGAAGTTGGTCTTAAATTTAATTTCAAGTGGCATTAAGTGGTTTTGAAAAGTCGTAAATTTAACTTGCCTTAAGCTGTAGGAACTTTGTATTAGTAACTATGATTTAAACTAGATTAGAAATCTGTCAATAACTTAGACTTTAAAGCTAGTTGAATAATTATGACTTTAGCTCAGAATAATAACGTATATTTATTATTATTTATCTGTTCTGTAGTTAACGCTTAGAAAATGTTCATTGCATACTTGTTAGGATGAAACTTGTCTCTACTGATTGTGGCTATAACCACCTTCTTTGTGTAATGAAAACCTAAAAATAGTCAAATATATAATATTATTTTACACTTGTAAAAATTACATAAATCAGAGGCAAAACCAGCTTGTATTATTTAATAATTTGTGCTGATTTGTAGCATGATTTAGCAAAATGCTAAACTCTGTCTAACAATATCTGCTACAGAAGCTAATATCTGCTAACAAATTTGTTGATTAGCAGTGAGCTTTATATGGTTGTTTTAACTTTAAACTGTTACATTATTAGGTTAAATTCTGCTCTGACCACATTCACTTTGAGGTTAATAAAATAAAATCTGCTTATTTAAAATGAGACGTTTTCCTGTTTCTCTTCTGTCGGTACATCCATAATGCACAGCTTTCTGTCATTTTTATATAGATTAGATAGCTAATACACTCTAAAATATCTGTCCAATGCATTGTTAAATTAAGGATATTTTTTCAATTTTTACATAATCAGCCATTATTGTTAAGCTATGTGACGCTCCGGGGGCCAGGGTTACTCGAAGCCCAAAGCTCGGGGGCCTGACATCCAGTGGG